TGTTGAATAACCCCCTCGACGTCTAGGGGGTTGTGTAGGGGGGCGCCATACTACCTCTTGGACGTTCAGGGGATTGCTCAAGTGGCTTTTCCCTCTCATCAAAGATACTTTTCCCTTTAATACATCAATGGTCAACACATATATTCATGTCATAATTAATAATTTTTTATCACAACCATAATTAAGAATTAAGTTCAGTGAAAAATTAAAAAGAAAAGAAATAAAGAAAGAAGTTGAATTAGAAAAAAATAATAAAATAGTCGTCTTCTCCAACCTACTTACTACAAATAAAAAAAAAATCTTTATCAAACAAATTCTTAACCAAATGCTCAAGAAAGAGGAATTAACGAAGTGCATCATTTATGAATTAAATAAGGCATGTAATTAAGATTTTAATCGGATAAACCTAATCATTATGAAATCTTTAGATACTAGAAATGCACATAAATTATATGGTGATGTTACACGTTCATAATAGTGTACAAACAGGTTTAGACCCCTTTACATGAAGGGGGCACATACAATAAATTATGCCGATGCACCCTCTATGTGACAGTGGTGTAATCTCATGTGTACACCTTAAGGTGTACAAATCAGCATTACCTTAAATTAATTACTTACTAACATATTGACTCAAATTGTTAAATATAACAACTAGTTTTATTGAGCCCCCGTTTGATTCTAATTTTTCAAGCCAAAAAAGTAAATTTTTTTATTATTAGTTGATATAGTCAACCGTCATTTTTGACATCTTCATTTACAGGTGGGTCAATTTTTTCTTTTTAAAGATAAAAAAAAATTGATTTTCATAATCATTATCAAACAAGCCCTAAATATATCCAAATTAAGATAAATTATGTGAATGGTACATAAAGTTCATCCCCATTTCAAACTCATACATGAACTCACAAATTTGTTCATTGTATGTTGTCGATTTTATCCCGCAAGTGGACGGATCGTAACAAGTAGTAAAGTGAACCTTTTGAGTCCGAATTATCGTTCCCACAATGACTATTTTCTAGCACATAATTCAATTTTTTCTTTAACTACTATTTGATAGAAACAGATTAAAAGTTGTATGATTTAGATTTTAATCTAAATTCTAGAAAATAAATGAATGCTCACACAATTTTTTTTTGTAAAATCAAATAATTAAAGGACGTTATGGCAAAATAATTTCACTCATTGATCACCTTTACATCTCAAATTAAGACTCAATTCTAATGTAGTGTTCGGTCGAATTCTCCTATTGCATTTAATTTACACCTCTCGAGTTCTCATTGAGCATATTCAACTAATTAAATTTCATATCTCTATACAAATTTAACTTAGTTAAAAGATTTCTTTGTCCTAAGAATTCAATTATGACAGCAATAAATGACATAGGTATCTCTACTCATTATACTAATATAATGAATTTTACTACATGGTCTAAATCCTAAACTCATATCTCTATTTGTAAAGGATTCACAAAATTCATCAAATTATTGATAAGATAATTTAATGCAATCAATCCATAGCAAAAATCAACACATGAAAGAATTAAAAATCAAGAATCTTAATAAGAAAATATGAAGGATCTCAAAAAGGTTACATTATTCACCCTAATAATGGATTTAGCTATACATGATAAAAGAAGAGCACAAACAAATTGTCTTAAAATAAATCGCCGGATTTTTAATAAGAGAATGTAGAAGAAGAGGTGGATCTTTCTCCTTCTTACAATTTACGCTTCACACGATGAATTTGGCGTTCTCTTTTTCCTTTAAATCTCTCCCCCTTTATTTCAATATGTGTTATTGTCTCTAGAATATGTGTAGAACCCCTTTAAAGTGTGAGAAATCGTGTATGTATAGGTCCCTTGCCGTGTTAGAAGAATAGGTTTTCATATGGACTCAAAAAAGGGGCCGAAATTGATCCATAATGCATCTCGGATGCGGCGCCTGGAATGCGGCATCACAGCGCCACATCAAAAAATAGGTGGTGGCACTGCAGCGCCATAGGGTGGCTCTCTAAATCTCTTGGCGCCGCGGCGCCACTTTTCAAACAAACAGCATGCACCTCTTTTAGTATTTTTAGCATAACTTTCTCTCCTAATATCCAATTGCGGTGATTCAAGATGCATTAGAAAGCTCTCTCAAAGGGCTACAACTTTTCTTCAGACATAATTTTCCGATTCGATCGTTTTCTATGTCAAAAAAGGGTCTTAATGTGAGTCTGAAATTTTAGAGCATAGCTTTTCGGTTGGAAATTGATTTGTGATCATATTTTGCCTAAATTTGATCCCTTTGACATCTTTCTTCATCCAATTGACTCCCAAAGCTCTTGAATCTTCATCTTGAGGTTCCACACAACTTTTAAATATTTTCACTTTAATCCCCAAACTTTCGATTTCATAAAATTTAGCTCTTTTCTCCAATTTTGCTTACTTTTGCTTCTTTCCTTCAAATCATTTTCCTTCATAAAATTTTACCTATTAAACATAAAATACAAACATTTAGGATATAATTTGTCGAAAGAACCATCAAATATCGTTATTTAAGGAACCGAATAAGTGTATAAAATACAATTATCATTGTACATACATAAATTAACTTGGTTAGTCAATGCCCCCGTTTGGCCCTCATTCTTGTCAAATTTTAATGGTTAGAATATTGTTTTTTTTTAATAATATGTGATTGAAAAAGAAAGAATTTTTTTTATTTACGTGTAATATTATTTTATGAAAAATTGCGTGGTTGAAAATAAGAGAGAAGAAGAATGAAAATGGGAATGGGGCCAAACGGGGGCAATATTGACAGAATAATCCATTTTATAAATTACTTGCCAACATGACTGTGACTTGACAAATAAGCAGTCGATTAATTACAAGAATGGTGTATGAACTTTATCCCATGTCTCAAAATATCAAAGCCAAAGGATCTAGTTGTGCTTTCGACGAAAAGAAATTCTCACAATTTCAACTTCTTATTTGTTAAAATTATATCACACTAGGCAACACTTAGTAGCCAAATTATGAAGTCTAAAGCATGAAATACTAACTGCATCCAGTATTCTTTGGTGAAACTCTTGCATTCTACTGATTATGATGCTGCTATATGTAAATCAAGTTGCATGGCTTTTAGCAAAATTCTTGGAGGTAGATTTACATTTTTCTATAATGTTTATACAATTTAAAATGATAGGTAAAGTTCATGTACTATTTACATAATCAACCCGCAAACAGACCTCCACGTGTGCCATGTGAATTGTTTACGTTAATTTTGACTGCCGAAAGTTAAATTATGGATGGACAGAATTAATTCGTGATTTTATTTATGACTTGAAAAAAAAGTTAAGTTCATATATGATATTGAAAAATGGATGTAAAGCTCATGTATCATTTCCATAATTAACCCTCCAAATTACTAAAAAAGGCAGATTCACTAGTTTTTTTAACATACATCATCATTCAGAGTAGTCACATTAAAAAAATAAATTAATTAATAAATTAATTAAGTTATTTGTTTTGATAACCGTCAAAGCTAAAATATGATGAGGCTGTGGTTGTCTTAACTTAGGCTGGTTTCAATACTTACCGGTACAGCTGACCAAGAACGCCCCCATGACCCAAGTAGTCGAATTCCATTGCACTTAAGCTCTGCATCAGCCTAAGTTTTGACCCATTGAACGAGGAAAATTTGGGCTAATGTGTTCTCAAGAAAATATGACAGCCCTACCCGAGTGAATTGTTCAAATGATTACTAAACTTATGTCTATACTTTCAATTGTTTACTAAAGTTTAAAATGTCGGACGTTACTCACTGATATAACATCCGTTTAAGACCCTTAACGGAATTGGTGACGTGGCTAACGAAATGCACATGTGGTGCCTCGTGAAACCATTAAACTTTAAGATAGTCAAATTTTGGTCACTAAATTTTGAAAAACGTCTTTTATTGCTCACTAAACTTTAAGGTAGTTAAATTTTGACCACTAAACTTTGAGATGATCGAATTTTGACCAATAAACTTTAAAAAATGTTTTTTGTTGCTCACTAATTTTTAAAAAACATATTCTATTACTCACAGAACTTTTAGGTGATCGAATTTTGACCACTACATTTTGAAAAATGTTTTCTATTGCTCACAATAAATTTAGATTTGATTAACATTTGTTGCTAAATTTTGGATTAAATTTTGAATTTAATTTAATTATAACAACAAAATTAACCCATGTTTTGTAGAAAATAAATTTAAATTTTTATCAAATTCAAAGTCAACAATTAATTTTAATCACATATTTCATGGAATTCAAAACTTTTTAATCACATATTTTATCAATTTTTATCAAACCTTGGTTAAAAATCTTATTTTAATCCCACCAAACAAGAACTTATCGTGTGTTTCACTGTAAACTTCAAATATTAGTATTTTAAATTCAATTTAATTTTAATAACAAAATTATTGTATATTTCGTTGCAAAACTCACATATTACGATAGACAACACTTGTAAAACTGTGCAAAGGAAGTGACTACTAATTGAAACGAAATACACAAGAAATTTCTTATTAAAATTAAATTAAAGCTAAACTTTAATATTTGAATTTTACAAAGAAACATACAATAAATAAAATTAAATTAAATTCAAAATTTTAATAATGAATTTTAATTAAATCCAAAATTTTTGTTAGGAATAAAAGATATTTTTCAAAATTTAATGGCCAACATTCAACCATCTCAAAGTTTAATGGCCAAAATTCAACAACTTCAAGATTCAGTGTACAATAAAAGACGTTTTCCAAAATTTATTGAGCAATCGAAGACATTTTTCATGATTTAGTGGTCAAAATTCAACTATTTCACAGTTTAGTAAACAATAAATTTTTTTTTTTTCAAAATTTAGTGAACAATCGAAAACATTTTTGAAAGTTTAGTAACCAAAATTTGACCATCCCAAAGTCTGAATTTGATCTTTCAAATACTTTCCACCGCAAATTTGTACATATCATGCAAACATAAATCCTCAGAAAGATCTCACGTAATTCACATTTCTGATTGGCAGTTGACTATAGGATTCTTGTAAAAATTCTCATTTGAAATCTGTAACATACACAGAGGTACCAGTAAATTCACAAAAACATGCTGGTTTACATATCCGTAGATTGAGGTTTTCTGTCAGGTGCTACACTAAAAAGCTTTCATTTGTATTTTCAATACCTTCCCCAGGATGTAATATCAAACTCCAAAGCTTTCAAGTCTTTGTCTGTCCAACAAATGTCTTTTCGGGGCAAGAAAAAAACTAGCAGTGAAAGGTGCAGAGCCCCGAGACAGGGAGTGCCAAAAGCCAAAAAATCTTAAGGAGCCTACCTACAAGTGACACCCTTGTGAGGATGGTCAGGTAGAAATGGTGTTTCCGAGTAGCAGTACTCTTTTGGCAGAAGGCGGTTGGTGATTTCCGAACCTAATAATCATACCATTACCAGGATCAATTAAAGTTCTTAGGGGTCTCAAACTGTAAATTCAACAAAAATCCGAAACTTTGATACCTTGAAGAACTTTGGAGCGAAAACCATCACTATTACTTAAAGATTGGTCAAGTCTGGAATTTGGTGCATTTTTGCCTTTACCATGAATGGTATCTACAGGTGTAGAAGTTTCAGGCAGAAAAGGCTCCACATACTTTACTTTTTTGCGCTTCTTATTGTCTTTCTTCACGATATCTTCCCAATGTAACATTCCAGAAGATTACAAATAGAACATAATATCTTTTGGACCGTTTTTAAAGAACATACAAAAGCAACAACGTAAGTAAAGACTTACCACAATCCATCCCATTTCGGCAAGCATCCATGTTCAAGAGGCAAAGTGCAGCTTCCACAACGTCTGTATCATTAACCCTTACAATTTGTACCTATAAAAATTATTGCTCAAGGATAATAATACAATCTTCATTAAAGCATAATTTTTATACGTTATCATATATATAAGCATACTTGTAAAATTACATATCTACATATGGCTTGAGGATAACAATAAGGGAAGTAAAGTGTGCCATGAGATCTTCAAACAAGTGTTTGAAACAAAATTTCCTCAAAACAAGGAGCTTTGTAAAACGTCCCACCGAAAGGAAATACTTGTCATGCTTATATATTGACGTTCCATTTCCATGAGCATCTTAGTTAAGAATACAGCTTAATAAACACGGGAAACATAGTATGATTTCAGCCAGTTTAGAGCTTTAATTCTCTAAAATATTTTGAGATAATCCATTTCAATTTTCAATTCCAAGAAGACCTGTTTTCTTTTGAAAATATAGAATGTCTGACAGTTTGCTTGATTAGAAAACACTAGCAAGTTTCTCTTTTCCAAGCAAAAGAATCATGAGGTTACTTGAAATTAAATATTTCGTAAATATTGTCCAGACGAGACTTCTTACAACCTCACTGATTATCTAACCCGCATCTTCTTCATCAGCCTCAGAGGTTTTCAGATTTTGTTCAAACGCCAATTTTGAGTAGGTTCTCAAATTTCAAACTGTTTTCTTCTCGTTTAGGTCATATTGCGAAACAAAATGCCAGAATTATGGGCTGCAGGTCTCGGTCACTAATGAACACTCTAAATGATGAAACATTACCTTTAACTTGCATGGTTCAATCAAATGGAAAATCAAAATATCTCCTTTGAGTAGTCTGTGAGATACGGAAAACCCTCTCCAGCCGGCACTCAGACCATGTCTATACAGAAGATATGATGTTTCATATTCATTTTCCCATTCATCTACCAAAACAACAGTAGCATCATGATTTGGCAAATGATGGCTGCAAAAGATCTTGGGAAGATGCTGTTACGAAAGTTTTCAAACAAAAAGTTAATTCAGCTCACCATTGCATGTTATATTCTTACAGAAGGCCAAAAGTACATGTTCGGCTAAGCTTGATAATAGTCAGGCTTAAAATGAGTAAATGATAAGTATTTTTTTTTTTCCAAACATGTTTCAGTAAGTTACTTTATTCTTCTAAAAAAAGTTCTAAATTTGAAAGTACTCTTAACTTACTGTCAAAATAAGCAACATAATTTCAATTTCTATCAATGAAAAACTTATTATGTTAAAACTTACACATTCACATATAAGTGAACATTTTAAGCTTAGCAAAACATGGTCGCTTACCAGCCAAAATCCATGAGCAACATTTGATGGGAGCATACACTTCCCAAAGCTAGGGGAATCATTTTCTAATCTTGCCAAAACCCTTTCGGCTCGCTCCATAACAGAAAATTTAGCTTCAACATCCTCATATATATCACTAAACCTGGATCTCTTTCCTTTACTTCTGTAGTAGATCATACACTCAGTAAATACGTCAAAAATTATCATAATTTATACTTCTAAGTGGGAATAGAACTCAAGCTTGAAAGCCATTCAAAAAAATAGCCAACCTTCCCGATTTCTTGGAATTACTAGAAGACACCTGTTAGAAGGAGATGAATTCAATCATTGTTAGAAGATATCTTCCAAATCACGTGAGGCATTTTCAAGCATCCAATACATATTTAAGTGGCTGTATATAGACAAAATGTTGATAGTATATGAAACATCACAAGTTGTAGCCGTAATACACGAAATCCAGATAATATATATAACTATAGTCATCTGCAGGTGAAATGTGTAACATGAATAAACAAAAAGTATAACGTTATTAAGAACCTTCTTCCTGTAGGACGTGCAATGGAATGAAAGAAGTTCATTTTTGAAGCCTAAGGACATGTGCTCCTTGACAATCCCTTTGCCTTTCCCCATTCTCAGGTGGAGTAGTCCATAAAAGAATCTTGTAATCACCAGTTACCTCAATTGAGTCAAGTAGCCTATTTGAAGATGTATCTTATAATTGATTTCCCTTCACCTTCTTATTAGGATTCGTATTATTCATCGGACCGATCACATGAACCTTACTACAACAACTTTCCAAAGCTTCATATATTTTAATATATTAAAATATGGTAAAGTTGGTTATGTACAAATAACAATAGAAACCAAATACCTGAAAGTTCTTAGACTATAAATACAATTTTTCTTTTTGGTTAAAACCACAATTTTATTAATAGCATAAAATAAAAGAGTACAAACTTAGGAGAAGAAAGAGAAAGCTTACCCTGTCCATGGACGAGGAGTACAATGCAAAAACAATATAGGACTAGAACTAAAACTCATGTGGCCTTATCCTAGTTTAGTCATCATACGTCACTAAGATAACCTGTTTTTGGATCCTTTGGTTCAAAATTACTACAAGAAGCAGATTGCCATGAAACTATACCTAAAAGAAAGAAGATCTGAAATGACACCAAAATATTATGTACGATTACCTCCAAAACTAAACAATAAAAAATCAAGTTTTGTCAATCAATTTCAAAATTCTAATTTACAATATTAAAATAGATAGAATAAATGTTCGGCCAGACTTACAACATACTTTTAGGTTTTTTGAAGAAATTTGGGTCTCGGACACTGAACAGTTTCTTCAAACAAATCGCACACCATATGTTCAACAATTTATCAAACAAACAGTCTCGATATAAGTTGTGCTGTATATTTGTAAGTTGGGTGATATCATACTTCCATAATTCAGTGAGAGGGCATCATTTTTGAACATTCAAAATTTTCTCGAACAAATCGCCTGACGAATAGTCACCAGCACATCCAAACGACAATCAACTCAAAATAAAGCAAATCTGGAAACAATGCAGCGTGACTCGCCTCAAATGCATATATAAATCAGTAAAATTTACACGAATCTAAAACCGCCATACAAGTAAGTTTAAGTTTAGGACATCGAAGAATGGTTTTTGCCGAATCTATTTTCGAACATCATAAGATTTTTTTTTTCCAAATCTTGCTTTCCTTTACTACTCCACAAAGCCCTAAAATTACATAGCAGAAAAAAATCAAATTATATTTAAATCCTAAAAAAATCGAAAAACACTCCCGGAAATGTGGATGTTTCGTGACAAAACTCAATTAATCAATTGATACAACGTCATATCTACATAAAATTTCATCCATTAATTCAATCATTCTCGGATAACTAAAAATATAAGGTGGGTATGGATCTACTAACAAAAATAAAACAAAAGCAAGAAAAAATGGAATTCTCACTTGTTTATCCTTAGATTTGAGACTTTGCCTTTTCGAAACCGTCTCTTTCTTGTTCACAGATTGCATTCTCTTCCTTTTCTGCAAGAAATCAAAAGGCAAACAACCCACAACTACAAGTTCAAGAAAACCAAAATATGGGCAAATATACATACATAAAAAGGTACAAAATATATTGATAAGTACCTTAGGTGAAGACTCTACAAGGTCTGTTTCATCTTCCTCTCTACAGTTTTGGGTCTCGATTTCATATAGCTTTTCTTTAAGTTTCTTGGTTTCCATGAGGTTGTTTCCAGGTTATTTTCCAGGTTATTTTATTTATCTCTCTCTAGAAAAATTGCTAGTAGTTGTAGATACTATAGGACTTGGTATATATATTATGTTTATATGTCAAGTATAATATTCATTTCAAAAAATATATGCATACATTTCCATACATTATACTTACACAGTATACATTTCCATACATTAATTATATACACGGCCGGATAAAGACAGGAAAACCATATACGTGTGTGTGTGTGTATATATATATATATATATATATATATATATATATATATATATATATATATATATATATATA